GATAGATAGATAGATAGATAGATAGATAGATAGATAGATAGATAGATAGATAGATAGATAGATAGATAGATAGATAGATAGATAGATAGACACTCTCTGTGACCATTTTTATTATATTTCACTAATTTATTTAGTGTGTTCAAAGTTCTTACGATACAGGAGCGAGACCCTGCAACTCGTGAAGAAACGTAAAAACCGTGAGAATGGTTTGAAGCATTTTGGTGACACATTCAATAATGCCACCAATGGTCGCAGCCCAGTGAGATGAAGCGAAACAGGATCAGTTCTGTTCATGTACTCTACGCCTGACACAAACCCACAGCTTTTCTTCATTTCACCTCTTCACTCCACTGCTGCCTGGGTACACAGCATTATTCAGGCCCTCCTGAGACATTCACAGGACTCGGACTGACTCTTGAGACAAGGAAGTGTCACGCTCAGCCCAGCTACCTACAACAAAGCACATTAAACCGAGCCGCTAACAGAATTACGCCTCTGGAACCCAAGGGAGTGAGCCAAATGGATGGTCTGTGTGTGCCATATGAACGACCGGACCGTCATACCGAGTTAAACATCAAACAATAAATATGAAGCATGTGATGCAGCTTAAATTTTGTTCAAACCCAAAATGATCTTTCCATTATGTTTGTTTTGGAGAATGACCTTGCTGTGGTGCTTTTTCTTTTTTTTTAACAAGGTGAAAATGTTTGGGTATTTATTTATCACAATGAGGCATCTGTTTTAGCCCAATGTGCAAAGAATGTGCCCTTTTAAATTACTGTTCAGTACAGTAGTCCCTCGCTACTTCACAGTTTGACTTTCGCGGACTCGCTCTTTCGTAGTTTTTCAAAGATTGGACACGACACACAATTGGCTGATCGATGGATGAGCCGCATGAGCGGCGTGCAGCCCACAGGTGCAGGGAGAAGCTCCCTCCAGCAGCACGTCATGATCTCCGCTCTCTGCCACGCCCACTTCTCTGCTGCAATCACACTTACTAATTGTTCTGCTCGTTTCTACTTATTTAAACCAAATTCAGCAAATATGTGTTATTTCTGCTTCTTCTGCTGACTTAGGCTTGTCCTTCCATTTCAGCTACATTTCAGCAGGTTCTTCAGCAATAAAATCGTAAAATAATCATAATCACAACATATGAAAGTGTTACAATTTATTTTAAATTATTTTAGAACTTCCATGTTCAGTTGTTACGGTGTAATTGATCAAGAAGTTCATTGTTGCTCCGTGCTGCAGAGTTGCGTGAAAAGTTAACCCTTCTCTTCTCTACAATTTAAATTTAAATACTGTAATGTTTTAAATAAAAATATTACAGTATTGAGATTTAAATAGTTTATTTACACATTGGGATCAGGTGATGAGTGTGACTGCAGTGGAGAAGTGGGCTGGCAGAGAGCCGCAGGTGGCAGAGAGTGGAGATCATGACATGCTGTGCTCTTTTAGAGCGTTTAGAGTTTAGAAACATTGTTTAGAATAATGCAAGAGTGTGGAAGGGTTTATAAAGCCTTTATATATAAATACTAAATTAAACTACTTCTTACTACTACTACTTGTACTACTATTCCTCCTGAGCAGTTTTTCACTTATCGCGTGCCGCAATAAACGAGGGACTACTGTACAAGGAAGTTTAGGTACAACTGAAACTAGTAAAAATTGAAATAAGTCTAAATATATTCATAAGAATGTTCACAACTATTCTGCTACAATTTCAGGCATTCTTGCCTTATTCATATTTTCAGCTTTGCTTTAAACAATTTCCCTTGGACTTGATGAAAATAAAAATCTACGCAGAACTGAATACAGTCTCTAAAAGATTCACTCCTAGCTTCACAGCTTGGTGAAGAAAGAAAAATATTGTAACTTGTGGCAACAAACCCCTGAAAACAAATTAATCATCTATAATTGATAACGGTGCAGGTTTGAATGGTGACAGAAATGCCTACATGATATTTTCCTGTGTTTTCTGTTGTTCCGCTCATGTTTCAGGTTTACCTGGAAGCGTAGAATAATCGTCCAGATAAGCCCCAGCGTGAGGCGGTGGTTTCCGTCCACGATGTCGTGAGAACCGACATTTTCCAGGTGAACCCTCTGCTCTTTAAGGAACTGCAGGGCTTTGTCGACGTTTTCCAGGCTGTGGATCCGCATGCGACCCCTGGTAGGTCTTGGCTTGAGAAGAACGGAACAATTAATGATAATTATTATCACACTTACTGCACGCTGCGTCGTGGAGCGCGAGCGTTAGCACACATGAACTGTAGAGGATGTCAGTGCATTTAGGTAAAGACAAATATTGATAAATAAGTTAATAAAAAGCAGCCGCCAAGGTAAACTCAATATGAATTCTATTTGTAAAATAAAAAACACATGTTAAAACTTGCGCAGATGCATTTACCTTGTAAGAATGGCTGATTGTAACCTCCTAAAGCTGACTGTACTCATATTCTAACCCCACAAACAAACCAAAGAGCTGATACATCAGTTCAGACCAAATAACTGATTAATTCAGATAAATTATACGACAAACAGAAAGCCAAATACGAGTGTGTGTTTCCTACCAGCAGCTCTCCACTGAGGACTTCCAGCAGTCTGGTGAGCATGTATCCGTCCCTCAGGTCATTGTAAAGGTCTGAGATGCGACAGGACACTCTGGCCAGGTGGGAGTTGACCCACTTTGTGAAAGTTTTCTTCTGCACTGCATCTCTTTCATCTGAAGAAGATGAAAATATTAAGAAATAAACGTGTTGTCAACAGGATGGAGAATTATACAGTATTTAATATATTATGCTCACTACTACGAACTAGAAAGTTTTATAGGATAATTCATTTAAATACAAGTTGTAGATATTTTCTACTGCTGTACTGCAGGACTTTATCAGCCTCTCAGATGGTTTTGGACCACTCTTCTTCCCAGTCAGCTCACTGAGGTTTGCATTTGTTTCATCTCAGCTCACTGAAGGTGTCGCCACAACATTTTATTCAGGTTCTGGACTTTGACCGGACCGCTGCAGCACTCTGTTTCTATTTATTTTGACCCGTTCTGTTGTAGATCAGCTGCTGTGTTTGGGATTGTGGTTCTGTTGGACCCAGTTTGGTCCGAGCTTCAGCTGTTGGACAGATGGACTCATTTGACTCCAGAACCCTTTAGTCTACAGAGGAGTTCATGGTCCACTCAGGGACTGACAGGAGCCCAAATCATCAGCCCCCCGCCACCGTGCTGACAGCTGGGAGGAGCTGTTTGTGCTGATGTGCTGTGTTTGGCTTTCTCCGAACATGGCGCTTTGAATTATGGGTAAACGTCTCCACTGTGGACTTGTTTTGTTCCGTGTGTCTTAGGCTTGTAAAGTTTCAGCTGAATGAAACACAAGTCGTACCGCCATCTTGATTTTAGAGCAAAGAGTCTTTCTCTGAAACTTGTTCAGACAAGCCCCACACGTTCAGCCTTTCTCTAACTGTCATGACCTTTGACCTTTAACCTGCTAACTGAGGGCTGTGGAGTCTGAGATGGAGTTCTTGAGTTTTTTTGTCGTTTCTGTGAGGACTGCGTTAATACATTTCAACAAAGTCACTCAGCACTCAGGATTCCCACGACATCTTTACAAAACAAACTTCATCCCTCTAGTTCAGGGGTCAGCAACACGCGGCTCCGGAGCCACATGCGGCTCTTTCATCCCTCTGCTGCGGCTCCCTGCGACTTTGGAAAATAAATAATGAGTATTTAATTTAAATGTATTTAATTTTAGTTTATTTTTTAATGTAATTCTAAATGTGAAGAGAATGGTGTTCTTGTAACATTAAAATAAACAGTTTTTAATTTTTGTTGAACAAAATATGCGTCACCATTACCGATGTGCGATGAGGTGGACAGCGCATATTGTGACCTCCTGCTGCATAGCAAAGTCCGGTGGCTGTCCAGAGGGGAGGTGCTGAAATGCTTTGCCGCGTTTCTAGAAGAAGTGAAAACTTTCCTGCGCTGGAATGGCCATGTGGCTGGAAAAACTGCACTTCACGGTGGATATGACAGCACACCTGAACACATGTCTTCAGGGGAGATGAGGCGCATCTCTGCACGTGCTGGAGGAGGTTTTGGCATTTGAGCGCAAACTGACAGTGTTAGCCAGAGATTTACAGCGAATGTCTCCCTTCCCCTCTCTGAGAGTTCAAACAAGCTCATAATATGATAAATACTCAGTACTTGCAGTCTGCAGTCACCGCAATGCAAACATCGTTTGGGAGACGATTCTGTGAGTTCAGTGAGGAACAAAAAACACATTATCCTTCCCTGTCACTCCCCTGAGCATCACTCCATCCCTGCTGAACATGACTGCATTTGCAGGTGTAAGTCAACACGATCTTGAGATGGACCTGGCCGACATCGCCGACAAAGACATATGGGTGTCCAAGTTCAAACGCTTGACAGCTGATCTTGATGCTGCCTGTCAGAAAGCCGTTCTTGTTCAGAATCACAAAAGGAGTGAAACTGAAAACCTTCCCAAACAGGACAAACATGGAATGTCATCCCCGACACTTGACGTATACGTTTGAAGTCCTGTCAATCTTCAGATCCACAAAGTGAGCAGGTCTTCTGCAACATGAACTAGGTTAAAAACAAACATCGCTCACGTGCCTCACAGACAACAGCTGTGTGAAGGTGAAGGTGACGTCATACAGCTCTGATGTGAAGACGCTGCACGCTCAGGTTCAGCAGCAAAAATCACATTAGCCAGGCAAACTAAATATTTTAATTGGCTATTATTTTCCAAATATATATTTGACATTGTTAAGTGAAGTAATCCTTTTTTATTCAGGTTGACAGCTGACGTGCACGCTCCAGTGCACGCGATCAAATGATGATTGAACACAGAAGCAGATGCATTTTTGGTTCGCTGCTGGCATATAATTTAAGTTTGGATTTTTATTTCTTAAATACGAGGAGGACTCAAATAGACATTATTTTATTTGAAAGTAAGCATCATCGTGTTTCGGAGTTCAAAATGTTTTTGTTACATGCAGAAATAAAATGTTGCGTTCTCTGTTTAGCAGTTCATCGATTTCATAAATGCAACAGGTTTTTTATACATAGCATACAGGTAAAAAAAAACATAACCTGATTTTTTTTTTATTTTATCATTTTAGATGTCAAAAGGGTTTTTTTTTCTGTGGGAGACGGTCCATACGGCTCTTTGAGTATTTAAGGTTGCTGACCCCTGATCTAGTTGCTATTGTTATGATATGATAATCAATTAGGGTGTTCTAGTTTAGCCTTAAACATAAATTAAGTTGGATGCATGCGTGACCTCTGACCTGCCAGAGCCTTGATCCGGGAACACTCGAACAGCTTGGAGCTTGTGCACTCCGTCTCCCAGAACCCCGAGCCGACTGGTCGGTTGTTGTTGTTGAGCTGGCGCTGGGCTTCGGCGTTGTCCAGGTCTGGGGAGGCATTAGCCATCGCGTTCGACGTCCTGCACCGCACAAACGATACGCAGAGAAAAAAATAACTTTAAGTTGTCTGGGAAAAATAAAACATACAGGCTCTCAGCTGTTGTATTTTATTTTATTTTTTATTGAGGCCAAATATGTCCCATTTATATCGTTTTATTTTTGCAAAACGTTAGGAGACGATCTGAAAATCCACGAGGTGCTGAGACGAGGGGGAGTCTCGATGTATAAATAAGCTGAGGACTCGAACAAAGAGAACGAGGAGAAGTGTTGAGGCAAGAAGCTGACGCTCCGTCGCCACGAGTGAAAATCTGACGGATGATAGTTCAGCTCTGACACGCATCATCTCTGAATCCACGTTTAACACAAACGTAACAACAACAAACAAAAAAAACAAGGACTCAGTTAGTCACTTATAACCAGGAGTCTTTAAGTTGCACAAACACCACGCAGCAGCTCCATTTAACACGTCCAGAGCGTTTTTACAACAGCGGAGCTAAAAATAAAACTTCTCTGATGGACTCAAACAAAAAGATGACGAGACTCCTCTCTTTTATGTTTGTGCCTTTTACAGCTGCTATATTAAAAATAACTTTCTTAAGCAATAACGCAACGGGAGGGAACAAGGTGACGTTTCTTGTTGGCATTTTTATAATCAGATTCAATGAAAAACACAAAAAATTAAATAAAACAAAAAATAATTCAGAGCAAGGATTACTGATTATCTTGGTTGGAAAAATATGTTTCAAGCCCACCTTTAAGGTAAGCTTTGCCAATTTAAAACAACATTTGACCTTGACTGACAGAACATGCACTGACTGCTGATCTATCCATTTATTCACTCTTTATTTTATTATACAACAACTGCATGACCTCAAATGTAAAGGACATGGACAATATCTGACATCACCCAATTCTGCTTAACAAAATGTTGGTACACACCACGTTGTAATTTCTCTTAAATAAAACTATAATTGTTCTAGTGCAGGGGTCTGTAAAGTGTGGTTCTGGGACCACATTTAAGGCAAGTTGTTAAGGGGGAAAAAACCAAAGTATAGTTTTGGACATATGCCTTGATTTGCAAACCTCAAACTCTTTTATATCACAATGGATCATAGTAAACATGTCAAATGTTTCAACCAAGAAGTTACATTTTTGTAAAATAATACGGCCATTTTGAAACGACAGCAACAACACATCTCAAAAGTTACAACGGAGCCTAATTTTAAATGGTTTTGCTCAGACTGGTGAACCCCTGCCCATCTTTACCTCTGAGAATTAACCTCTAAAATGTTTTATACCCATTCCTCAATGTGACCTGTCGACAGTTCACCTGATTACTTCCAAAATGCTCCTCCAACCACTAACTTATAGATGTGACTTTTTATTTAGTCCAAAAAAATTACAATTTCTTAGTTTAGACATTTAATATGTTCAGCATGTTGGTTGTGAAACTGTCAATAAACCATTAAAGATCTTAAATTTTGTAATAAGCAAAAGTTTTATATGTTGCACTTTAAAAAGACCTAACAAAGTTTATCTAAAATCTTTCTCTGGATAAGTTTTATTTTGCGAGAGAAGGAGCAGAAATGGCTCTTTTGGTTGCAGACCTGTAGCGTGAAATCACCAGACTGATTTTTACGTTTTCTTTTAGATGAATGTTATAGTTGCTGTTTCGCATTAAATACTGAGGAAAACGTGAACAATGTGGTATATATATATATATATACATATATATATATATATATATATATATATTCACTCTACAGTCTTTTGAACAACTTATTGTAACAACATGAAATATTGCTAGACAACTATGGTACACTGGTTTTTCATTTCAACATTATTTATTTAGATAATAAAGACAGTGAGGATGTTGATGAATGAATTTTAGAAAAGAACATCCGTTTTGAACAGTATAATAAAAAATATTCTCTTTTGTTGCACATGGTGGATAAAAAGCACTAACAATGCTTTTGGTCAGAAGAGCAGATGTGCCTATAGGACATAAAAAATGGCATTTGGTGCTCCTCTCCAGGCTTTCGATGGGGCGGGGGGTACATGTTTGTATGCATGACTGGTCCCACTGGGAATCAAAGCCACGTCCTCAACAAGCTGTTTGAGATCACGGCCAAGAGGGGGCGGGGGGTATCTGGTATTTCTGTGAACTCATACATGTATTTATGAGACGTCGCATGATCAAAATGATAACATTTTTAATTCTGTTAGTTTACTGTGGCCTGTGATGTTTTTCTCCAACCTGCTGGTTTACTTTTTAACAAAGGCAAACACAATATGAGCAGGTTATTGTTTCAAGTGATGCCTAAAAGTCCTTCCACACTGATAGACAAAGGTAGTTTGTTACGTTTCAAATGGACGAGAACTAAAACGCTGTTTCATTAAACACTTGTATTACCGTATTTTTCGCTGTAAACGTTGCACGCTATAAGTCATATCAGTCCAAAAAATGTCTAATAAAGTGGAAAAATCCATAACTATGTCGCGTCGCCGTATGCGTTGCATCTATTATGCGTCACCGCTGACGCGTCGCGTTTGTTACGCGTCATCGCTGACAACCTGGAAATGTGGGCCGGTGTGCCATCAATCGATTGGCTGCCAAATGGCGGCTGCAGGAGGGTGCATGGGAGGACTTTAACAAGAATTTAACAAGAGTAGCACTTAAGAACAATTATTTGTTTGCTTGAAATTATAGTAAAGGTGTCTCAGTTTAACTTTTCTTTAATAAATGCACTTTGAAGGTCAAATCAGCTGCATTTTCAAAAGCCGATACGAGGAAACATGAACGAGCAGAGGGCGACTCGCTGTCCATTTCTTTGAAATTTAACAAGATGATCACCTAAAAACACTTATTTGTTTGCTCGACTTTATAGTAAAGGTGTGCCTCAGTGGAACTTTTACTTAATAAATGCACTTTAATGGTCAAATCGGCTGCATTTCGCCTGGGCGGCAAAGAGAAATGAAGCTGATTTAACGGTCGCTCCAGGCAGAGGACGGTGGCAGCCGATTGTGTCATTAATAGCCACTTTTACTTATTACATGATACAACGGCATGCCATACTACTCGACTGCCATCTAGTGGCTGAAAATGGTAGTGTTCAATATTTTCAGTCTGAATGAATAAAAACGGTCATATCTCAGCCAAAAATTGGTTTATCGATATGAGGAAAAATCCATAAATACGTTGCTTTGGCGTATAAGTCGCAGGGCATGTAAATTATAAAAAAATATATATATATGGTAATATAAAAATGAAACTGGATGAAATAAGGGCTTTGTTGTCTTCAGATTTTCGATGGTCTGTGTAAATCAGCAGGTCGTGTGTGACTTCACACGATCATTAAAGCCTGAAAACACTCACACCCCTCCCCCAGTTTACCTCTGAACAGACACAGCATAAAGTGTTTGAGTCGTTATCTTTACACGTTCTGATCCAGGAAAAAACAAACTAGATCCCTCTGATTCTCAGTTTAGGAAGTTTTTGGTTCTGCCTTTCTTTTGTCTTTTGCACAACTCTTGCTGACATTTTCCTCCGTGTTCCCTGCGAGGAAATAATCCCGCCTCACCACCGTGCCCACCTAAAACACTGGAGAACAACAGAGTACATGTCAGCGGCGGGAGGAGGGGCAGCTGTGCTCGTAGCCCCCCTCCCTGAAGAAAATACCAGCCAAGCATTACAGAGCTTTTTATGCGATGATGGAGCAGGCGGGGGACTGCAGCAGACCCCAACCAAACCGAACGTGAAACAATACGAGCAATATGGAATAAATGGGAAACCATAAACACGTATTTAACTGTTGTGGTTAATAAAGTCTCAGCCTCTGTGTTAATATACAGAAAAAAACTGTTTTTAACATATTTATTAATATTATAAAATATTGTACATATATTAAAAGTTGTTGGTTTCTACATGTAAAAATTCCAGATTAAAAGAAGTATTTTGACGTAGTATTTATATTATTATGGAGTAGCATGTACCAGACATTTAAAAGACTGAAGCAGCCCAACGCAGACTGTTTATTTAACGTTTTCTGCTGAAAAGTGAAAGGCGGGTGATAATGTTTCACCCATGTCTGAGTTTCTGTCTGTTAGCAAAATATCTAATGAACTAACGGACAAATTTTAGTAAAACCTGCAGAAAGTAATTATTGGATATACAACTGGTAAAGTTTGGAACCCAGCTCAAGATGGCTACCGCAGACTGACCATAAAAAACACCAAAATGACTTTAACTCTGTTTATTTTACACTTATTGATGTGTAGTTTGGTGTGGTAGTAGCTGAGTATCATCCCAAATAGGCCTGCGATAAACAATAAATCAATTAATCGCACAATAAATGACAATTATCAACCTCGTTTTCATTTATTGGCTTTATCGTTTCTTCGTGTCTCTCTCTTTCTACTGAAGACACTGGATGACAAAAGGCTCAACTCCGGTGCTCTTCACCGACTCCTCCCTTTCTCTTTAAAATCCATTTTAACCGTCCAAAATCTCATTTTTGGATCGTTAAAAGCAGCTAAGCTGAGAAGGTAAGCTACGAGCTAAGCTAACAGGCCGACCTCAGGGAAAAAACCTCCGTCTTGTTGAAGCTCCAAAATTCACGGTTGAAACTCGTGCCTTCGCGTAAAAGTTGTGTTTCTCTGCAAAAAAAAAGCCGAGAACTTGATTCCTGATTTTTTATTAAAAGCTTTGTGTGAAAAATGCTATGCTAACAGCGTCCGCCATTTTGAGAACCAAAGAGAGACAGCCGATGTCACGTCAATGGGCCTCCCTTTCATTTTTCTTAAAGAGACGCGCTGCTCGCTCCCTCACTATCCATCCTTCGGTTCAAAGTCTTATACTGCCATCCGGTGGTCGAAAAAAGGTACTACATGCAAAACAAATAAGCATGTCTTCTTAAATTTGACAATAATTACTAATTATTGTCAAATTTCATATAATATTATCGTTTATCGTAATAATTTCTGAGACAATTAATCACCCAGCAAAAT